AGTGGGAGCACTTAACTACAATGCAGACAGACAGGTCGTCTAGAGTTACTCTGCAATAACTAATCTATGGGTTGTTGTTGTTTTTAATCCTGTGTTTGTCTAAGACTATTCGCAAGTGACAAACATCTGAACTAGGGACAATACAGTTAAAATCAGCATATTGAAACAGCATAAAAAGTGGCTTAGAAAGCAAAATACACATACCATTCTGATATTGATTTATTTTATTTCATTAGCTTTCGATACCACCCCATTAGTGCAATTCTGGGTGGTTCACAACAGGCAGAATAACAGATACCCTGTTTCCTCGAAAAAAAGACAGGGTCTTCTATTAATTTTTGCTCCAAAAAATGCATTAGAGCTTATTTTCAGGGGATGTTTTATTTTTTTTTCATGTACAACAATCTACATGTATTCAAATGCAGTCCTGTCATCTTCTTCCGGTTGCTGTGCAATGGTGGAGGGTGGGGTTTCACTTAACTAGGGCTTATTTTTGGGGTAGGGCTTATATTACGAGGGACGTGGTGGTGGGGCGGGTTAAACCGCAGAAGCCTCTGGGCTGCAAGGTCAGAAGACCAGCCATCATAAGATCGAATCTATGTGACGAAGTGAGCTCCCATCGCTTGTCCCAGCTCCTGCCAACCTAGCCATTCAAAAGCATGCAAATGCTAGTAGATAAATAGGTCCCAGTTCGGTAGGAAGGTAACAGCATTCTGTGTCTAGTCACATTGGTCATGTGACCACAGAAACTGTCTTTGGACAAACACTGGCTCTACGGCTTGGAAACGGGAATGAACACCACGCTCTAGAGTCGGACACGACTGGACTAAATGTCAAGGGGAACCTTTACCTTTACCTTATATTACGAGCATCCTGAAAAATCATACTAGGGCTTATTTTCAGGTTAGGTGCTATTTTGGGGGAAACAAGGTATAGAAAACTAATTCCAGCTTTCTCCTGTGCCCTGCACAAGGGCAACAAGATATGCAAGATGCAAGTTCCCCCCCCCCCACTTTACAATCCAGCACTGTTTCACTTAGGTGGAAAGCTCATGCAGTAATATGTCACAATTTAAAAAAATTTCCAGCTTTCCCCCAGTCCTACTGGAGAGAACGACAGGAGAGGATAGTAAGGCATAGAGGCTCAGAAAGAGGATGGGCTAAATTGGTCGCTCTAATGTGCGGGGTGGATTCCTGTGCTAAAACCACCTGATCCTTCCACGTGGACACAAGGAGCATTCTAAATCTTACACTGCTCTTCCAAATGATCTATTTAGACTGACTTCAGCCTGGGATACCCTCACTGTCTGGTTCCATTGATAGCTGAGCAAAGTAATAACTTTGGGTTATTACTTTATTTCTACACCTAGATGACTGAATGAACAGTGGGAGCCTTCCGTAATGGGCCAGGTTTTTCTCCTCCTGTTTTCTACTCTTAGATCCTGCCTCGCTCATCATGCCAGATGCTGTTTAACCCTGTGTCCAGCCCCAATCACCAACCCATACTCGTTAAAATTGGGATCGCCACCTACACCACCTAATCCAGGACGCGGCAACTCAGTGAAACTCCACTTGCTCCAAAGAGTAATGGAGCAGCAAAGGGTACTCCAGGATACAGTACTGAACATTGCCATCAGCATGGCTTCTTCTCTGGGCAGAGAAGAATGGGAGATGATGGGTCAAGTGGCCTATGTTTTCCAAAGAGTTCAACACACATGTGATTCTTTCAGGGATTGGGAGCCATCTGCTGGCAAAGAGGAAGAATTACATTTGACACAATCAAGAACAATTACGTTTTGCCCTTAAAATGGCTCCCACAGACAGTTTTGTGTCTGAAGAGGGGCTCATCTTGAGCAGAGGTAGTGGGCTATTTGACCTAATAGATAAGTCTACACAGACTGGTAGGACGGAACATCTCTGGGGATAATATGGCACTGAAAGCTTCCACACTGGAGAAACCAATATTCAATTTCGTTGACAGATACAGGAGTGGATAAGGGCACATAAAGATTACTGCAGACTGAGAAATATGGGAGCATCATCTTACATACCTTTTGCACGTGTAAAAACCTCCACAAGCTGTTGACCTTCATCTTCTACCAGATGCTCCATGCCTTTCTTCCCAAGTCCCAGCTTCCGCATGGCAGCGACCGCAAACCGCCTCTGTTGTTTCCAGGTGTGACCGTTTGAAAATACAATACCTGAAAGACCATCAGGAATGGTTGAGAAATTCAGATGGAGACCAAAATCGGGATCACAAATCTTAGGCTATTTGCCTAGAAAAATAACCATGCAGTTGATGGCAATGGTTTAAAAAAAAAACCCAGCACTGCTAGACTGATACAAAATTAATCTCTGTATAACACATTGGCTGGAATCCTGTTGCCAGAAGTGGCATGGGAATTTGGGAGGCATGATTGATGATGTCATCTCTCTCTCTCTCTCTCTCTCTCTTTTTCTCCTTTCCATGTTTTTGTAGATACTTCAGACAGATGATTACAGATTTCAGTGGTAACGAGTTAAATCCAACTGGCAGCACCAGAAATGGGGACGACTCACCATTTATCCTGCGTTAAGGGAATCCAGGCTGCCCTTTGCAAAGATGGCGGCTGCAGCTTCCCTACCCTAAATGAAGCCGCAGCCGCCATCTTAGTAAAGGGCAGCCAGTCTCCCTTTTTACATGCCATGGCTGGGAGGCCAGATGAAGACCTCGGCAGCGGTGATTAAGGTAAGGGGCTGTTGGAAGGGATCAGATCTTCAGAGTCTTTAGTTATACCAATAATAGTTAAGGTTTTTTAAAGCTATGTATTAATCACATGCTGAAAGACTGGCACTCTTTTACTAGGGGTGGGGGTGATCTGTGGGTTTGGGTTGCTGTGGGGGGAGTGGCTGCCTGTCTGCCACAAATCAGCTCATCAGGGGCTGGTAGGCAGAAAGGTTGTTGTTGTTATTGTTTTTAAATACAAAGGATGAATAAAAATGGGTCAATATTCATCCCTTCCTATTCATGGGGGTCCCTGGAACACATGAATATGAAGGGATGGATATTTAACAAATCAGCTATTTTCATTTAAAAAAGCCATGGGTGTTGTCCACAGACTCCCCATTAATATGCAAAGCTTGGCATCCTTTTTCCTGCTGGCAATATGGGCATATTGTGCAGCAATATTGGGACATTTCCTAGCATTTTTGAATCATGGATAAAGAAGCACAATATCCCACATGCATAAATTGGAGAGTCTGTTATTTTTTTAAAAGAATTGAATTCTACAAATGATTGAAATATTCACAAGAATTCTTGTCATTCTCTTTTGCTTGACGTCCCTCTACAATTTCACTTGGGAAAAGCCCGGCCAAACACCGTGGTCCATGCAACAACATACCTCTTTTTTTAACGACAGCTGCAAGAAAGGGCGTCACTGGTCGCTCAGCAAAGTGTTCTGAATGGTCGATCAAGCCTTCCTTCACGGCTTTGAATCCAGATAATATTACAGTATCCAAATAACCTAGCTTTATTGAATAAATGTTTCCGTACTGCTTTGCCATCTGTCATTCAGAAGAAAGTAGGGAAGAAAAATGTTATAGTCAAACAAAGAATAGTGCGGACTTCAGACTTCATCACCCCTTTGCAAAGTCAGACCTTGTTCCACTCCATGCTCTGCCCAGCCCAGCCCTCTGGTCGTCTGTTTGTTCTCTTCCTCTTTAGAACTTTTGCTTCTTCCCTTTTTCTTTCTCTTACAGCCTCTCAGTCCATTGCAACCCTTCGGGATCATTGGATTTGTAGTAAAAAAAATGTGGCTATATATAAATAAGCTATCACAATGAAGGTCGTTTAGTGACCACAACATCCCTATCTGCATTTCAGTAATTCATGTGCTTTGTTACTAGGATCCACCCTCTATCTCTAATGTAACCACATGAGCTCTTTAGAGATTAGCCGTCTCATGCCAAAGGATTCATTTTCCCGCACTGTATCATATCCTGCTACTCCTGTCCTCTGAAGATGTCGGCCACAGAGACTGGTGAAACATTGGGAAGAACAACCTTCAGAACACGGCCAAAGATCCCAAAAAACCCACAACAACCAACAAAGGAAAACCTTATCTCAGTTTTAAAAATGTTGTACTTGCTCCGTTCAAGAGCAGGGGGTAGGACTCGATTATTCTGAGATTCTATGATTCTATGAAAGCTGGGATCCAGTGGATCTTGGGGCCCAAAGTGGTGAAGGTCCTAACAAGGGCCAAATCGACACAACAGTCCTTTTAATGTGTCCTGTTTCTCCTTTGGCTCACAAACACAATGGGCAGCCACCTTTGATCCTTGCTCGTGATTGTTCTGTTTTGAACACAGCACCACCATTCTAATAATTGAAGTAAAACAAAACCTTAAGACAAACATATTTGCTTCAACCCGACGTTGTGTCTGTAATCCACGAAAGCTTGCCCTGAAATGAATTTGTTAGTCTTAAAACTTTTAGTGGGTGTTCGGTGTGACAAACCCAGACCTACTGGGATCTGCCACACGTTAACTAAGCTGCCACCAACCATTCCCTATAAGAAGTCACACAGACCAGGGATGGATTTTTAAACAAAAAAAGAATAAGGTTTATTTAAATACACACAGGGAAAAATAAACAATCAGGTGAATAGGATAAAGTAACGTGGCTTATTCTCACTCATACAAGCATACAGTTTGGTTCACACAGAGCCCTTAACTAGAAGCACAGACCCTGAACCTATCAGTTCTGTCTAACCAACAGACACCTGAACCTATCAGGTTGGTACTCTGACACACAGTAGTCCCCTGTCTGACACACAGACTCCCACACCAGCTTCTTCTTCCCAGCTGCTGCTTCGTCTTCTCCTAGCGTCCCAAATTCCCCACACAGGCTTCACCTATATATACAGTACAGCCCCTCCTCCTGATGTCCCGCCTTCCACTCCCCATAGGATGGAACTTTCCCTCCAAACCCATGACAGACAGGTAACATCAGTGCTGTATGTAACACCTCCCCTCTTTATAAGTTGTTTTGTAGGGGGAAAGCTAAGGTGCTTTTTCCCAAAAAACAACCTGGATAAAACACACAACAACAGTTATACATATAATATCATACTTACTTATACTTACATTCTAAGTTAACCATAGCAATTAGGCATTTAAACATTTACCATATACATTACATCAATTTACCTTTATTCATACAAACCAAGTTCAAAAAACAGGTACATTTAACTTTTTGTCATCAATATATATACATAGTCCATGTTTCTTTCGCCGTCTTCATTCTTCAGGTCTTCTTGACAAGGCGTCAGCAACACAGTTCACTGACCCTCTGACCACCTTCACTTCAAAGTCATAGTCCTGCAAGTTTAAAGCCCACCTCATAAGTTTGCTATTGTGGGTTTTCATTGTCTTTAACCATTGCAGTGGTGAATGGTCAGTGCACAGAACAAAATGTCTTCCCCAGATGTAAGGCTTGGCCTTCTGGATCGCGTAGACTATGGCCAAACACTCCTTCTCCACGGTTGCCAAATGTCTCTCACCTTTTTGAAGTTTCCTACTCAGGTAGGACACTGGATGCTGGTCACCATTCTCATCCTCCTGGCACAGAACTGCTCCTACCCCGCTGTTAGACGCATCGGTGTAGATGATGAACTCCCGGTCGAAGTCTGGAGCACGCAGCACTGGATAGTTGATGAGCGCCTGCTTCAACCTCTGGAACACCTCCTCACAGTCGCTGGTCCACGGGATGCCACCCCCCCCCCCCGATCCTTGCACGTGGGCACAAGGATCATTCTAAATCTTACACTGCTTCTTCCAAATGATCTATTCAACCTGACTTCAGCCTGGGATACCCTCACTGTCTGGTTCCCTTGATAGCTGAGCAAAGAAATAACTTTGGGTTTTGTATTTTTAACCTTTATTTCTAAACCTAGATGATTGAATGAAGAGTGGGAGCCTTCTGTAATGGGCCAGGTTTCTCTCCTCCTTAGATCCTGCCTCGCTCATCATGCTAGATGTTGCTTAGCCCTGCGTCCAGCCCCGATCACCAGCCCATACTTGTTAAAATTGGGATTGCCACCTACACCACCTAATCCAGGACGAAACTCCACTTTCTACTTGCTCCAAAGAGTAATGGAGCAGCAAATGGTACTCCAGGATACAGTACTGAACATTGCCATCAGCATGGCTTCTTCTCTGGGCAGAGAAGAATGGGAGATGATGGGTCAAGTGGCCTATGTTTTCCAAAGAGTTCAACACACATGTGATTCTTTCAGGGATTGGGAGCCATCTGCTGGCAAAGAGGAAGAATTACATTTGACACAATCAAGAACAATTACGTTTTGCCCTTAAAATGGCTTCAGTTTTGTGTCTGAAGAGGGGCTCATCTTGAGGAGCGGTAGTGGGCTATTTGACCTAATAGATAAGTCTACACAGACTGGTAGGATGGAGCATCTCTGGGGATAATATGGCACTGAAAGGTTCCACACTGGAGAAAACCAATGCAGTGGTGCCTTGCATAACGAGCACACTGTTTAACGATGGATCCGCATAGCAACACGTTTTTTGCGATCGCATTGTGATGATCTAAATGGCTGAAAATCACATTGCGATGATCGGTAAACATTTCGCTTACCGATCTTCGCATTGTGATGTTCTAAAAACAGGTGATCGGCGGTTCCAAAATGGCAGCCAGGTACACAAAATGGCCGCCCGCAGCGTTTTCGCATGCTGCCCTCGCTTACCGAGGCAGCGAAAATGGCAGCAGTATGGAGGATCTTCGTTCAACAGTGAGTTTTCCCCCCCATGGGGGGGAAATGCATTTAATGCGTTCCTATGGGGTTTTTCTTTCCGTTTAGCGACGATTCCGGATAGCGACGTTAATCCTGGAACGGATTAACGTCGCTATGCGGGGCACCACTGTATTCAATTTCGGTGACAGATACAGGAGTGCATAAGGGCACATAAAGATTACTGCAGACTGGGACATGTGGGAATATCATCTTCCAATACGTATTACATACCTTTTGTACGTGTAAAAACCTCCACCAGCTGTTGACCTTCATCTTCTACCAGATGCTCCATGCCTTTCTTCCCAAGTCCCAGCTTCCGCATGGCAGCGACCGCAAACCGCCTCTGTTGTTTCCAGGTGTGACCGTTTGAAAATACAATACCTGAAAGACCATCAGGAATGGTTGAGAAATTCAGATGGAGACCAAAATCGGGATCACAAATCTTAGGCTATTTGCCTAGAAAAATAACCATGCAGTTGATGGCAATGGTTTAAAAAAAAAACCCAGCACTGCTAGACTGATACAAAATTAATCTCTGTATAACACATTGGCTGGAATCCTGTGGCCAGGAGTGGCGTGGGAATTTGGGGGGCCTTAAAGATGGCCTGCCTGTATTCTGCAGCTTCCATAGGCTTTCTGGGCACACAGGGGATCCCCAGAACCTGAGGGTAAATAGGAATATTTTAATTTCCCCCAAACCAGCATGATTGATGATTTCATCACAGTTCCACAGTGTAAAGATGTGCAACAGGATTCTGGACACTAGTATATTTCTCAGAAATGGGATGTGAAAAGCAAGACCCTTCTCTCTCTCTTATATCTCTACAATAGATATAACAAATAAAAGAAAGAATTATTTTGTCTCCACCCAAGCACATCTCTTTTTCTCCTTTCCATGTTTTTGTCGATACTTCAGACAGATGATTACAGATTTCAGTGGCAAAGAGTTAAATCCAACTGGTAATACCAGAGATGGGGACAACTCACCATTTAGCCTGCCTTAAGGGAATCCAGGCTGCCCTTTGCAAAGATGGCAGCTGCAGCTTCCCTACCCTAAAGGAAGCCGCAGCCACCATGTTTGTAAAGGGCAGCCGTCTCTCTTTATACACGCGTGGCTGGGAGGCCAGAAGCAGACCTCAGCAGCTGCCATTAAGGTAAGGGGGTATCAGCGAGGGTGGGGGAGGGCTAAGGTAGGGAAAGGGGGCAGGGGTGGTCTGTGGGTTTGGGTTGCTGTGGTGGGAGTGGCTGCCTGTCTGCCACCAATCAGCTCGTCAGGGGCTGGTAGGCAGAAAGGTTGTTGTTGTTAGGGGGGGGGGTGGGGTGAGGGAGGGGAAGGGGGTGGGGGTGATCTGTGGGTTTGGGTTGCTGTGGGGGGAGTGGCTGCCTGTCTGCCACAAATCAGCTCATCAGGGGCTGGTAGGCAGAAAGGTTGTTGTTGTTATTGTTTTTAAATACGAAGGATGAATAAAAAACGGGTCAATATTCATCCCTTCATATTTGTGGGGGTCCCTGGAACCCACATATAAGGGATGAATATTTAACAAATCAGCTATTTTCATTAAAAAAGCCATGGATTTTCTCCACAGACTGCCCATTGAGATGCAAAGCTTGGCATCCTTTTTCCTGCTGGCAACGTGCATGATATTGTGCAGCAATATTGAGACATTTCCTAGCATTTTTGAATCATGGATAAAGAAGCATAATATCCCACATGCATAAATTGGAGAGTTTGTTAATTTTTAAAAAAGAATTAAATTCTACAAATGATTGAAATATTCACAAGAACTCATTTCGTTCTCTTTTGCTTGACGTCCCTCTACAATTTCACTTGGGAAAAGCCCGGCTAAACACCGTCGCCCATGCAACAACCTACCTCTTTTTTTAACGACAGCTGCAAGAAAGGGCGTCACTGGTCGCTCAGCAAAGTGTTCTGAATGGTCGATCAAGCCTTCCTTCACGGCTTTGAATCCAGATAATATTACAGTATCCAAATAACCTAGCTTTATTGAATAAATGTTTCCGTACTGCTTTGCCATCTGTCATTCAGAAGAAAGTAGGGAAGAAAAATGTTATAGTCAAACAAAGAATAGTGCGGACTTCAGACTTCATCACCCCTTTGCAAAGTCAGACCTTGTTCCACTCCATGCTCTGCCCAGCCCAGCCCTCTGGTCATCTGTTTGTTCTCTTCCCATTTAGAACTTTTGCTTCTTCCCTTTTTCTTTCTCGTACAGCCTCTCAATCCATTGCAACCCTTCAAGATCATTGAATTTGTAGTAAAAAAAAAACATGTGCCTGTATGTGTCTGTATGTAAATAAGCTATCGAAATGAAGGCCGTTTAGTGACCACAACATCCCTATCTGCATTTCAGTAATTCATGTGCTTTGTTACTAGGATCCACCCTCTATCTCTAACGTAAGGACATGAGATCTTTCAAGATTAGCCGTCTCATACCAAAGGATTCATTTTCCCGCACTGTATCATATCCTGCTAATCCTGTCCTCTGAAGATGTCGGCCACAGAGACTGGTGAAACGTTAGGAAGAACAACCTTCAGAACACGGCCAAAGAGCCCAAAAAACCCACAACAACCAACAAAGGAAAACCTTATCTCAGTTTTAAAAAATGTTGTGTTTGCTCCATTCAAGAACAGGGGGTAGGGCTAGATTATTCTGAGATTCTATGATTCCATGAAAGCTGAGATCCAGTGGATCTAAGGGCCAAAAGTGGTGAAGGTCCTAACAAGGGCCAAATCGACACAACAGTCCTTTTAATGTGTCCTGTTTCTCCTTTGGCTCACAAACACAATGGGCCTTTGATCCTTGCCTGTGGTTGTGCTGTTTTGAACACAGCACCAGCGTTCTAACAATTGAAGTAAAACAAAACCTTAAGACAAATATATTTGCTTCAACCTGACATTGTGTCTGTAATCCACGAAAGCTCACCCTGAAATGAATTTGTTGGTCTTAAAACCTTTGGTGGGAGTTCTGCACTTCCACTTTGTTTTTGTCATTGCTAAAACAAATGACTACCTCTCTGGAAACGATTCTGACCATATCCTTCCGAAGAGACACCACAGAAGGGCACTCATTCATTTGTGTCCACCCAGATTCAACGAGAGAGTGATGCATCGGAAGGAAGCGTGCTACCACAATGCCTCTTCCACTGGATTGCATTGACTATGACCACAACTATTTTCTTGTTACACCTGACATTCCACGGCACATGATCTATGTTTAGCTCAGAAGAAATGCTGTAGAGCCAACTACACCAGAGCACAGAGTTCTGTTCTCTAAAGATGCCGGACACAGAGACTGGCGAAACGTCAGGAAGAACAACCTTCAGAACACGGCCAAAGAGCCCGAAAAACCACAACAACCAAAGAAAGTACACTTCAATCCTGTGCATCATTAATGGGTATCACCTTGCAAGCATTCAAGACTGCAGTTTAAGTCATTGTTTTGAGTTGGAAGCCACAAGGACTTTGCTTTTTGACGGTGTGATTCCCAGAATTTTCCAAGATTTCCAGGAACTGCAGCCTACAATCCCAGATCAGCACATTACAGGATTCACCCCTTTAGAGAAAGGTTTTTGGGGGAGTTATGTATACCATGGCTTCCATAGCTCTAAACACACTCTAACCTTGCCTTGATGGATGACCTACAATGGGAACTAGACGAGGGGGATGTGTCCCTCTTGGTTCTGCTGGACCTGTCAGCGGCTTTCGAATAATAAATAAATCAGTAAAATTGCTAAAATGTTTATATTTATCATATCTATATTCCTATTTATACTGGTTGCTAGGAGAAGATGTGATGCCACAGATAATGCTCTCTGAGCGAGATAAGAGTGATTCTACATTCCTTTTGCAAATCAGCAGCCAAAGATATGACGTCAGATCTAATCATCATACAAACAGCCATAATAAGGCCCTGGATGAAACAAGACCAACAAAACTGCAGCTGAATCATGACAAAGCAGGAGTCTATTTTGGTGGGTGGCTCCTTGACCTAGGAAGAATTGTTTGTCCCATTCTGGGCCATATTTTACTCCTACTACAGGATGTTTACGTTGCTTCTAGATCTGGTTCTCTAGATGCCACCTCTGTGACACAAAGTGCCTTCGCACTACCTGTGAACCTTTCTGAAGCCTTCTGTTCTGCTCGCTGTGATAAACCCAGGGGGGAATCCTGCCATGTGCTGCATTTCTAAAGACCGCTCAAAGACTGAAGTTGATCAAGAACCAACCCTGTAGATGGTATCTACAGAAGTCTGCCTTGTAAATTTCAGTATAGTTTCACATTCTAAGTTATAAATGATTGATTTTATGTTGTGAAAACAATAAACTGAATCTAGGTTTGATAAGAAAGTCATAATTGTTCCTGAATTTTTTAAATTTCATTCATGCTCTGTCTTTCCACAACAGACTAGCTCTCAAAGCAATTTACGGCCATGATGGAACAATAGAGAAGCCGCAAGAAGAAACAGATTTCAACCATAAAATCATTCAAAGAAAAGTCAGTTTTAACGATCCACAGGTAGTTAAAATCATTACTATAAACAAGCCGATTTTGTAAGCTACTTGTAAGCGTGCCTGATTATGCAATCAGCTGCCCAACCAGTCCTGAAACCAGAGCGTAACTGAGGTGGCAGAACGGGATAATAGGGCCACTGCTCTTCCAGAGCTGCAAAATATAAGAAGAAACTGGCCCACACAAAATAAGCTGTCTTCAGCATATCCTTCGAGCCAGGCTCTGCAGGTGTCACAGCATTAAGAGAGCCTTTCCAGAAGATATTAACATTTGGGCAGGCTCATCAGGAGACAGGATGTCCCTTAGAAAGCAAAGCCCCAAGCTCCTTGGGGTTTAATGGTTAAAGCCAGCACCTTGAATGCAGCAGAATATGCAAGCAGAAACCAATGTTGCTGTTCCAAGACTATAGAATCATAGATCATAAGGTAAAGGTAAAGGTTCCCCTTGACAATTTTTGTCCAGTCGTGTCCGACTCTAGGGAGTGGTGCTCATCCTCGTTTCCAAGCCATAGAGCCAGCGTTTTGTCTGAAGACAATCTTCCGTGGTCACATGGCCAGTGCGACTTAGACACGGAACGTTGTCACCTTCCCACCAAGGTGATCCCTATTTATCTACTCACATTTGCATGCTTTCGAACAGCTAAGTTGGCGGGAGCTGGGACAAGCGACGGGCGCTCACTCCATCGCGTGGATTCGATTTCACGACTGCTGGTCTTCTGACCCTGCAGCACAGGCTTCTGCGGTTTAGCCCGCAGCCCCACCACATCATAGATCATAGAAACATAGAAAAGTGAAGTTGGAAGTGGCCTACAAAGCCATCCAATCCAACCCCCTGCTCAAGGCAGGAATACTATCAAAGCAGATCTGCCAGGTGATGAACTAAGTTTTTCTTGAATGCCTCCAGTGTTGGAGCACTCACCAACTCCTGAGGTCATGGGTTCTGCTCTAACAGTTAGGAAGTTTTCCCTGATATTCATCCGAAACCTGGCTTCCTTTAACTTGAGCCCATCACAGTCGTATGATATTGATTAGAGATGGGATATCATCACCACAGGTGGCCGGGCCAATTGGACGTTCCCCCCCAGAACTGGGCTGTCCCCTTACTACTTGCGGCACAGCACAATTGGCCACTGTTACTTGCACCGGGCCAATCATAGAAGTAGCCCTGCCAGGACTTCCCTGCCTCCGTGTGCTGCCGACCCATCTGGCGAGCAGGTAGGATGATGATTCTCTCTCTTCAGCTGCTGAGTGGTCAGCAATGCAGGGAGTTGGGAAGTGCTGGTCAGACTGCTTCCACCATTGGTGCACAATGTGTGAACAATGACGGCCACATGCGCCATGCTGCAAGTGGTAAATGGACAGCCTGGTTCTGAGATAGGGTCCAATCAGCTCAGCCATCTGCAATGGATATATTCGTATTTGTTTCCCCCAGTAGACAAATACCAAGATCCCATCTCCAATAATGATACTAGGCACCAGCTGGTAGCCTAGTTGTGCCTACTGCACCAAGGTGACCTTCAAGGGGAGCCCCATCTAGAGCAACACTGTTGTAGTACAGCTTGGCTTGCTTGCAGTTCTCTTCCCTGCTCACCTAGAACAGAGGAAGGCTTCTACCCCCCCCCCAACAGGCTCCACATTTTCCAGACATGTTAATGTCCGGTTGAAAACAAAATTGCCTCTATTTTGTGTTTTCATTACCCCCGCTACTGAAGGCATAGCCAGGCTACAGAACTGTGTAAGAGGAGCAGCTCTAAAAGCTAGGAACCCTATGGTCTTTCTTGCTTGCTTGCTTGCTTGCTTGCTTGCTTGCTTGCTTGCTTGCTTGCTTGCTTGCTTGCTTGCTTGCTTGCTTGCTTGTTAGTTTAGGAGAAAAAGTGGCCAAATCAATATGAGAGAAACATGTAGAAATAAAGAGAGGCAATGAAAAATTCGATACAACTAGACACAGAAGTTATTCCAAGGTGGATCAGATGAAACAGGGCCAGATGCAGTTTATGGAATGATCCTTGCATTCACACACAAGGATCAGGTGGGTTTCAGGGCACCGCACCTCAAAGCAACCATATTCAGCCCGTTCCTCCCTCTCAGCCACAATCCTCTCGTGTCTCCCCCTCTATGGGAAGTGGGGAAAAAGCTAGAACTGTCTGTGTGTGTCTGTGTGTGTGTGTGTGTGTGTGTGTGTGTGAAAGAGAGAGAGAGAGAGAGAGAGAGAGAGAGAGAGAGAGAGAGAGAGAGAGAGAGAGAGAGAGAGAGAGAGAGAGAGAGATCATTTCACTGCCTTGTCACTTGAAATGACACAACATTGGATTGTAGAGGAAAGAAGAAAAGGAAAAAGCTTCTCCTCTATCTCCACTTCTCTTTCTCCCTCTATGAGGAGCAGGGGAAAGGTGTGGTGGGGTATGTGTGGGCGAATCATTTATTGATAATCATAGAATCATAGAAAAGTGAAGTTGGAAGGGGCCTACAAGGCCATCAAGTCCAGCCCCCTGCTCAAGGCAGGAATAAGTCCCATCTCACTTCATTGGGTTGGCACCCAAGTGACATAGCGCTGAATTGTTGGAAACAGCTACCAATGCCATTTTAATTCAACACTGGAGACAGGTGGAAACCAAACTAAGAGGGAGCGATCCTACTGACATTTAAAAAGAAAAAAAAGATACCCACTGTCAAACATCTAGAAAGGAATGGAATAGCCTTGGAAGAGGTTTGGACAGGGTCTCACTTACCAGTACATGGTACAGTCACGAGAAAATAGATTCTACCTAATCCTATCAAAAGAAGTCAAATACATGAGATAAAGTGCCCTCTGATCACACCCTTATACAAGTGAAAGTGACATTCAATACAGGAAGATCATGGAGAACTATAAAGTGATTCTGCCCCCCTCAAAATATTCCAGCTTGTTGTCGTCCAATAAAACTGACGGGCAACAATGCATTAAGTAGAATATGGGTCATGGGGAGATTAATGAATGGTCAGGAAAATATGCGTTTCTCTGACATTGAGTTCATCGTCATATGCAGAAGAAGGTACACCCTTCCGCACTGGTCAACATATTAGGCTCTCTGATCAAGTCAATGAGAAGGCATGCATCTCTGTGAAAGGAAAGAGTTCTAATTTGGGATGCTGTTAGCAGGGCACTAAATAGGCCTCCATCTCACATGGTGTTTATCAATGGCATCTCCACTCCACCCTCCTGGAGATCAAAGAAGTTTGCAATCTTTTCTAATAGTACATTCATGATCAAGTCAATTCAGAATCAAATAAAGCCAATTCAGAATCAAATGAATTCAGAATCAAATGAATGTAAAGTGAAAAAACAATGAATGGATCTTGCTTTTTATAGATACCATATTTTTCCATGTATAAGACGCCCCCATGTATAAAACGCCCCCCCACTTTTCTAATCCAAAATTAAGAAATCTAAGTGGGGCTTAGCAAGTGCAGGGGGAAAGGGATAAAAGCCCCACAGGATCACTTTGATCCCTGCTTCCCCTCCACTTGTTTTTGTTCTCTCCTCAGCTTACTTCCATGTATAAGACAACCCTCAATTTTTAGTCTAAAGATTTTAGGCAAAAGTATAGTCTTATACGCGGAAAAATACGGTATGTATGTCCCATCTCTAGTGTGTGTGTATCTATATCTACAGTATATCTATATCTACACACTAGAGATGGAATTTTCATATTTGCATCCCTGGAGACATGAATATGAATATTGGCACCATCTTCCTTCCCTCTTCCCTCCCTCCCCCCTCCTTCCTTCCCTCTTCCTTCCTTCCTTCCTTCCTTCCTTCCTTGCTTCCTTCCTTCCTTCCTTCCTTCCTTCCTTCCTTCCTTCCTTCTTCCCCCCCCCCCCCCTCCTTCCTTCCTTCCAGAGCATTGCACCATTTAAAATTATACACATATATGAAATATAGATAAAATTTAAAGTAAAAATTAAAATATTAAGATAATTAGACTGTTTTTGGGCTACTTCAGTATCTTGGCCATTGCTAGATCTTTTATACACGTGATGGGGCATACATTGTATGTCCATAAATGCTGCATTTGATTGAATTTCTCCACAGTCACAGAAACGTTGTCCTGTACCCAAATAGCCCCATTTTACAAGTAAAAGGAGAATAATACTGAGAAGCGACTACTTCATTGTCAAGTCAATTCTGACTTATGGTGACCCTTTCCCAAGAGTTTCCAGGTAGAGAACACACAGAAGTTGTTTCCCCATCCCTTCTTCTGGGGGGCATCCCTGGGACTGTGCAGCTGGCCCAAGGCCACCCAGGCTGGCTCTTCCCCTAGGAAGCCCAGTGAGGAATCAAACCCCCATCCTCTGGCTCCTCATCCAGATACCGGAACCACTGACCATTCCAACCAGCTTTATTGCTGTAGTTACTACAAATTACTAAGATAAAAGTAACTGTTTTTAAAAGGCACACTATACTTCTAGGATGACATGGAGACCGAGAGAGAGCAATTGCATTGAATTTTTTAAAATGAGAACCCCGCACCCAACCTACGCTCCACCTATGAGTCCTACCAGTGCTACCAACTGTTGGATGAGTCAAAGCCAGAGGTTCTGAGTTCGATTCCCCCACTGAACCTCTGTGACAGGGGCTGAATTCGATGACCCATAGGATCTCTTCCAGCTCTGTACTTCTAAGACAATTGTTGTTATTATTGTTGTTATTCACAACTGTCAGCTCATTTAAAAGGACATTGTTATGTACGCAATCCGTCACACACCCCCATTTACACACTCCACGGTTAAAAAATCATTTTTAAGTCATAGTAGAAGACTGATCCTTTAGAAAGACAAACCTTGATGAAAGAATCCACATGAAGCATAAACCCAAGCCGCCAAGCGCCTCCGACGAGAGGAAGTTGACAAGGTCCGGGAGGCTCACGTACATGTGTCCGAAGCCCTTTGAGAAAGCGAAAAATCAGGCGCGGAATCAGGGTAATCAAAGATCCAAGTGTCCCCAACATGGTCTTCTTCTTCTCTCACTTTCCCTGTCGTTGGATCTTTCTTTTTAAAATAGCTGGAGGGGAGGCGGATGCTCTTTGGCCACAGTGAGGTGCTTTCTTCGACAGGGTTGCCAGCTGCCAACTTTCTGTTGGTGTGTTGGCACCTTTATATATTCCCCTTATGAAGGCATCCTGTTTTAAAACACTCTATTTAAGATACCATCTGACCTCTTGTCCAAGAAGGCCTGGAATGTGGTCCTCCAGGCAGGCATTATAGTGGCCAGATACAGCTGTCAATGGGGTTAATCGTCATATCTGTCACTCCAGTCATGGATGGGGAATCCTTCAAGGCACTCTAGCCCAAGCCTGGTCTAAGCACAGTAGCAATCAAGTGTCACATGCGCCCTGGAATATTAACCTACCATGATGTGTTTATGAAATATAGGAAGTGAGTCTTCATTTCCACAGTCTCTTCTTTTGCCACTCTCATTTAAACAGTTTATTGGAACGTCTTGGCTAACTTTCTTTTTCCAAACAATATCTATATATGGATCCTACTGTATCCCATACCTGTGTTCTTTGTTGACAGTTCAAACTCAGCTTACAGCAAACCCTAACAGGGATTTCAAGGTAAGTGAGATATTTAAGGCTCCAATCCTTTGGCCATGTATCTTGGCCATTGCTAGATCTTTTATACACGTGATGGGGCATACATTGTATGTCCATAAATGCTGCATTTGATTGAATTTCTCCACAGTCACAGAAACGTTGTCCTGTACCCAAATAGCCCCATTTTACAAGTAAAAGGAGAATAATACTGAGAAGCGACTACTTCATTGTCAAGTCAATTCTGACTTATGGTGACCCTTTCCCAAGAGTTTCCAGGTAGAGAACACACAGAAGTTGTTTCCCCATCCCTTCTTCTGGGGGGCATCCCTGGGACTGTGCAGCTGGCCCAAGGCCACCCAGGCTGGCTCTTCCCCTAGGAAGCCCAGTGAGGAATCAAACCCCCATCCTCTGGCTCCTCATCCAGATACCGGAACCACTGACCATTCCAACCAGCTTTATTGCTGTAGTTACTACAAATTACTAAGATAAAAGTAACTGTTTTTAAAAGGCACACTATACTTCTAGGATGACATGGAGACCGAGAGAGAGCAATTGCATTGAATTTTTTAAAATGAGAACCCCGCACCCAACCTACGCTCCACCTATGAGTCCTACCAGTGCTACCAACTGTTGGATGAGTCAAAGCCAGAGGTTCTGAGTTCGATTCCCCCACTGAACCTCCGTGACAGGGGCTGAATTCGATGATCCATAGGATCTCTTCCAGCTCTGTACTTCTAAGACAATTGTTGTTATTATTGTTGTTATTCACAACTGTCAGCTCATTTAAAAGGACATTGTTATGTACGCAATCCGTCACACACCCCCATTTACACACTCCACGGTTAAAAAATCATTTTTAAGTCATAGTAGAAGACTGATCCTTTAGAAAGACAAACCTTGATGAAAGAATCCACATGAAGCATAAACCCAAGCCGCCAAGCGCCTCCGACGAGAGGAAGTTGACAAGGTCCGGGAGGCTCACGTACATGTGTCCGAAGCCCTTTGAGAAAGCGAAAAATCAGGCGCGGAATCAGGGTAATCAAAGATCCAAGTGTCCCCAACATGATCTTCTTCTTCTCTCACTTTCCCTGTTGTTAGATCTTTCTTTTTAAAATAGCTGGAGGGGAGGCGGATGCTCTTTGGCCACAGTGAGGTGCTTTCTTCGACAGGGTTGCCAGCTGCCAACTTTCTGTTGGTGTGTTGGCACCTTTATATATTCCCCTTATGAAGGCATCCTGTTTTAAAACACTCTATTTAAGATACCATCTGACCTCTTGTCCAAGAAGGCCTGGAATGTGGTCCTCCAGGCAGGCATTATAGTGGCCAGATACAGCTGTCAATGGGGTTAATCGTCATATCTGTCACTCCAGTCATGGATGGGGAATCCTTCAAGGCACTCTAGCCCAAGCCTGGTCTAAGCACAGTAGCAATCAAGTGTCACATGCGCCCTGGAATATTAACCTACCATGATGTGTTTATGAAATATAGGAAGTGAGTCTTCATTTCCACAGTCTCTTCTTTTGCCACTCTCATTTAAACAGTTTATTGGAACGTCTTGGCTAACTTTCTTTTTCCAAACAATATCTATATATGGATCCTACTGTATCCCATACCTGTGTTCTTTGTTGACAGTTCAAACTCAGCTTACAGCAAACCCTAACAGGGATTTCAAGGTAAGTGAGATATTTAAGGCTCCAATCCTTTGGCCATCTCACGAGAAGAGAAGACTCCCTTAAGTTTAAATGAATAAAGTAGGATTGACTTCTCAGCAGACATGGACTGGATTGGCTGCCAATCACACATGTGACTTCATGTGGGTCTATGCACTGCTACCCTTGCATTCAGCTGTAATCTTCACATCAGGAAGGAAAGAAATGTACAGTGGATAGGAGGGCCTGGTGGGATCTGGTCCATGGGGTCATGAAGAGTCAGACACGCCTTAACGACTAAACAACAACAACAAAACACTTAAGCTTGATTAATTTTCTAGTAGATCTATCCTAGTGGTTGGTCACCAAGACATGTGCTGACAATGTCAGTCTTCAGGTCCGATGAACAACACATACATTGACGGAGAAGATTTTCACTGCTGGAATGACAAGCATATGCTCATAGACTTTGCTGGGCATTGTCAGGTACAAGCTCTACTTTCTGCCTTAGTTATGTCTCCAAATGTATAGTTCCCATGTTTAACTGAATAAAGTAGGATTGACTTCTCAGCAGACATCGACTGGATTGGCTGGCCATCACATATGTGACTTCATGTGAATCTATGCACTGCTACCCTTGCACTCAGCTGTAATCCTCACATTAGGAAGGAAAGAAATGTATTTTCCCAGGAATGGAATATTGCTGCAATCTATTATCACGCAAAGCATTGGAGAGTCGTTTGGTCTAGAGTAGAGATGGGCACAAACCATCAATTCGGTATTTCTGCTGGTTCGTCCTTTGGATCAACAAGAGTTTGGCCCTTCCCAGCCCTGCCCCCTCCAGTGAGCGCCCACTCAGAGGCAGTACCAAGAGGATGTGGGGCAGGGAAGCCTAGGCGCTGCCTCTGAGTGAGCGCCCACCAGAGGATGCGAGGCTGGGAGAAGCCAAACACCTGCTCATCCGAAGGATGAATGAGCACATCTCTAGTCTTTAGAGGACAGTTAAGACTTTGTATACATATATGAATACAAATATTCATATATGTATATGAATACTAATATCCCCGTCCAGCTGGACTTAACAAGGGTCCAGCCCACGGGCATCTTTCTACAGTGCCAGTCCCACCCAATCTTCCAATCATGCGTGGAGGTCCGCTTTCTTCCCACTAGGCTGGCCACTCTAGGCTGGGGGAAGGAGGACAGTTCTCCCTACATGGCTGACAAGTGGCCAGCCAAGCAGGAAGAGAGCGGCACTCTGGGTGTGATTGCAAGGATGAGCAGGACCAGTGCTGCAGCAGGATGCATTAGTGGGTGGTCCAGCCCCAGGGGCTGAACCCTCATTAAGTCCAGCTCTACTGGGATATTCGTATTTGTACACAAATTTGTATACAAATATGTATTTGTATACAAATACAAATACCGTATTTGTACACAAATTTGTATACAAATACAAATACCCACAGGGACGTGGTGATGCTGTGGGCTAAACCGCAGAAGCCTGTGCTTCAGGGTCAGAAGACCAGCAGTCGTAAGATCGAATCCACGCAATGGAGTGAGCTCCCGTCGCTTTGTCCCAGCTCCTCGCCAACCTAGCAGTTCAAAAGCATGCAAATGCGAGTAGATAAATAGGTACCACCTCGGTGGGAAGGTAAAACAGCGTTCCCTAGTCACACTGGCCATATGACCACAGAAACTGTCTTCGGACAAACGCTGGCTCTACGGCTTGAAAACGGGATGAGCGCCGCCCCCTAGAGTCCGACACGACTGGACTAAAAATGTCAAGGGGATCCTTTACCTTTTACCTTACAAATACCCCCATCTCTAATTAAGACCTATTACTTTTACAGAAGTCATGCTTCACATTTGCTGGTAATAAAGCAATCCAGCTCTTTATGTTTTGCACTTCTGGGAGTGGGCTACAGAGACGGCCCTAGTGAACACCTACACTTCCAGATTTACTGCCACCTCACGGATTATAAGAGGAGAAAAACTCTGTCTAGCTAGTTTGGCCACTCCGTATAACATTTTGTATCCCATGATGTCCCGCTTGCAGTTCTTTTTCAAGCTGACGAGATCCATTGGTAACATTTCTTGATAAAGCAGTCCCACAGCCTTCATGATCCTTCCATCTAACTTTTTCTATCCTTGTTCCAGATCTATCATCTCCCTTTCAAGATGCATTGACTAGAACTGGACAGGTGTGCCTACGTAACTCTAAATTTACACCAAGGTGTTATGATAAGGATGTTTTCTCCCATTCCTAAGGATCCCCAGAATTTTTACAGTATACTTTTGAGTGCTTCCTTATAACAGCGTAGTTCTAAAGAGTAAAAATGTGGCAAAGATTAGGTTCTTTGATTTGGGATTTCAAAATGCTTTTGCCAAAATGTCCGTAAAGTCTAAAACTGCCTCTTAACTGCATTTCACTAACAAATTCTTGTGGAGCTGCCAGAAAAATTGAGGCTCGGTGGGCTACGACAGATGAAGAATGCAGTAAGCATATGGTCTGTACTTACAGGGGAAAGAGAAGAGGCAGACAAGTCACATGTGTGTTGTCTTATCCCTTCAAGAACCATGTTTAATTGCTACTCGAAGGCTCATTTCCTCCCTTTCTTCCTCTGAGGTCATTTCCTGATTAATGATAGGACTTTCAGGTTTTCACTAATGAAAAACAACATGAAAAAGTCTTTAGTTCCCAGATTCTTTCATTCGTTTCCAAAAGAGGGCCTCTGAAGTCCAAATCATGTTGTTTTAACAAAAACA